GCTGATCTGTAGCATGTAGCATGAGCTGAAGTAGGGTTGTGTTCCAGAGGGTTAGCCAGGTCCACTGAAACACAAAACAGTTGTCCTACTCTGTTTATTTAGTCATTAATAGTTTATAATAGGGTTAATAGTTTTGGTTGTTTCACCAGGAAAGCCAGTAGATACATTTTTGATGTTTTACGTTAGTGCCAGCACCTAGTCTTATCACCACAACAAACACCACACCATGTTGAGACGGTAGCTTACCTTGGCTCTGATGACTGTGTTCTCATTCGGCTTGATAACTTCCATGTCATGAACTTTTCCATCTGTCAGCTGTTTGTAAGCCTCTAGCGACTTGTAGCAGCGAAACTCTTCATGTGTGTAGGCACTGACGCCACACACTAGATACGAAAATACGTCCTCCCTTGCAAACGGCGGTAGAAATTCTTCCCCAACGCACCACTCCTTGCTTTCTACTTCGTAGGGATCAAGTCCGTTTATGAAGCCCATCTTTTGCAGATAACGGTCCCTGGCTTCCCTCTGCAGTGTGTCTCGGTATATTCCGCATCCTTTCTTCGCTTTTAACATCGCTGTTTACTCGTCTTTCTGCTCTGTCTCTATGCTGTTTTAGGTCTTTGTTTACCGTAGCAACTAGCTACCAATATGGCGGCGTACCCAGAATGCAACGCGCTGTGCCCGAGCCTTATGGGAGAGGAGCAGTGAGCAAAAATAAACGGGTCGGTCGGATATTTTTTTAGTGCGGGCGGGTAGTTGGTGATTTTTTTTTATGCGTGTGTGTTGTTATGGACATCAGAAATGTTATATTAATCAGGCACTGTGTGCAGCGCAGCGTACAATACCCTATGATGTGTTAACGGGTCGGGTTGCGGGTTAAATATCAACGGGTCGGGTGGGGTTCGGATTTGAATTGAAGATATCCGCGGGTGACGGGTCGGGTTCGGTAGTCATCCTAACGGGTTCGGGCGGGTGCGGGTTGGTAAAACTCGACCCATGCAGGTCTCTAAGCTACACTTCATTCAGTATCGTTGCCATAGAAACAGACAACAGCGCCAATATATCAGAATTATACTAAAACACACGCAAATAATTTCCCACATAAAAGACAGGACTTTCAGTCCATTGCAGTTTTCCGTTTTTAGAGGGTTGTTTATTTTGCGTTTATTAAGTGATGGCTGTGGTATATTAGCTTTCACTGCTATAAGCTTTCGCAGCAGTGATTGATTAATTTAAACACCTGCTCTACTGATAGTCTATCGGAGTTGGTGTTTAGGTTGAACATAAAGAACACCTTTTATTTGAAGCTTCTTGTAGCTACTGTTTTAATCCCGGCTTTACTTAAAACTTTTTCCTGACCTTGTTATATATTTGTCATAGTGTTGCCATTCAGTAGCAAGCACTGCGCCCCTTTTTCTTTTATATGTACACCTACATTTAAGATTTAGCGTGTTAAGTTGACAACTTATGAGCAAGCTGCTTTTTGCAATCTAGCAGGAAGGTAAGGATAGGATCTTGCAGGTGTGACGTCACTCTGCAGGGGGTCCAAAGATAAAAGATTTAAAGAATTTTGGCATTGGAATTTCAGATTTAAGGGAGTTAGAAAGTTCACTTAGTAAAAGTGCAAATAATAAATCTGATTACCGATTACTTTTAAGCTGGTTGAACATACTGCGACAGACTGGTGACCTGTCCAGGGTGATCCCACCTCTCACCCAGAACGTGGCTAGAGATATATGCACCAGCACCTCCTGATCCCACTGAGGGATAAGGTTAAAGAAAATGGATGGTTGAACATAGTCCGCTCTCCCAGATTCTATCAAATCAGTATTGATACCCTCAGGGCCGGATTTAGGAAATTTGGGGCCCTAGGCAAAGACAGGCAGGGGGCCCCCTGAGAAGTAAACCCATAAAACAGACCCATTCTACAGATAGAGAAATGTTAATAGAATAGACATCCATTATTTGTTCTAGGTTTTGTCCCTCTCTTCTTGTCCCTTTTTCCTCTCTATTTATCAGCGTTCTGATGGCATTTTAGCCAAAGGATTTTTATCAAAAACATAATTAATGTGCACAAATAAGGATTAGTTGTATTAACCATACATGTAAACAGAGTTTTATGGGGCCCCCAGGAACTTGGGGCCCTAGGCAACTGCCTAGTATTGCCTAATGGTAAATCCCCCCCTGGATACCCTGCTGGTGGATGTTCTTGACAGAAAGACGGAGTTGCTTAATCATATTCTGCTTAAGGCCCCATAAGATCTTGTCCGAGTCCTGGTTTAAAAGTAAATTAATTTTAAAAAGTGACCCAAAATTGACTGTCAATAAATGTTCTACAAAATTGATATATTTATTTGATTTCTTTGATTTGTACTGTCTGTTTAGATTTATGTGATATTTTTTGCACAAAATATAAGGCGTCGCGCAGGTAGCTCCCTTTCCTTATGAGCCGTCCCCACCAACTTTCAACACAAAGTTACACCCTTGTCTTAGACAACGCCTTAGCAGGTGCACTGAAAAAATTTCGGCGCGCGCTACGCGCCTATGATTGTTGCATCTTCTAGGGGCTGAGCCACCTTTGTCTCTTAAACCTAGAGACGCCCCTGTCTGTAATGTTATATAAATTGGAGTTCATCCTCTTCAGAATTCATTTTTTTGATAGGAAGTATGTTTATTTTAGATAGAAAGAACGTTATTTTAGATATCTGGAACTAAAAAAAATGGAAATGTGATGTCATTTGTTCTAGTAAGAATTTTATTTCAGATATCTGAAATGTTTATTTTAAATAGGAAGAATATTATTTTAGATATCTGAAATGTTCACTTTGACTGAGAAGAAATGCATTTGAGACATCTGAAATATACATTTAGTCAAGTTAATAAATGTCAAAATGGCCTGCCATAGCCAAAGAGCAGCCAGGCGTCTCTGCTTCAGAGCAACTTGACCAGCATGACGTGGACAGCCTCTAACCTAGCGCCCAAGGAAGAGGATGCATTGACTGGCAGCAAGCTAGCAACTGGTAAATGCAAACAATAACGGTAATTTCAAAACCAACACAAGTTTAAAGGTGATAATAGTTTATTTTTATCAATATACCGCATCGTTGCATAGGCTAGAGCTTAACGACACCACGCTACTAGACGGAGTGGCCTCGCTGCTCTCCGCCATGTCGAAAGGTCAAAGCCTAGCTCATCTCGGAAACTCAGGGTAGACTTTTCTCAGCTTTCCAGTGGAAATTAGACGACTGGGTGTTGATGAGCAATTTTTACGTCGGCTTTTGATAGACCACTTAAAGGCACCTTAACTCCGCTTTGAAAGAACGACATTTCTCGGAGTTTGGGTTTTGCTTGAAGATTAAACAGCAGCGCCACCTCGTGGCTGTCTCTTTACAGTGCAGTAAACGATCCCTGCTGCGGCCTGCGAAGGACGCATCCCCATGTTTAGAACACAGCCCCTGAACTGGGAGCAAGAAGTGGAAAAAAGGCTTGAAAACATTCTTTATTGTTTTCATTATTTTTAAAAGATTAAAAATGAGGAACGCTTCACGAATTTGCGTGTCATCCTTGCGCAGGGGCCATGCTAATCTTCTCTGTATCGTTCCAATTTTAGTATATGTCCTAGTAAACTAGGACACTCTAGAGGAGGCTTGGAGTAGGAGTTATACCCCCACCTTACTGTGTCCCCCAGCAAGACGGTGTAATGTTTGATTTTTATTTATTTAGTTTTTATTGCAGAAAGTCTGATCAAATAAAAACATGTTGTCAAACCTGTAGATCTGATTATCTGAGTGAGCAATTCTATATCACTAACTTTGACCCAACTCACTTCTGATCCTGGTAGGTTTTCTGTTTATTCAGCGTTTTGTTGTCACAGATGCATGATGGGAACTTAAACCAGGCCTAACATGATTGGCTGGCTTTTAAAATGAAAACTAGTCCCTCATACTCGCTGTTTAGTGAAATCCGAATAGAAGACTCGCTCGTTTATATGATCTAGATTTATCTATCCGTTTCCCAGCTGTGTTTGTTTCCATTTAAAGAGAATTTACGCTGAGAGGAGATGCCTGCAACAGCAGGACACACGGAGCTCCATCAACAGCTCTCCTTGTTATGATCCTCTAGTGCCCTCCGGTGGCGGCGCACGGTTACTGCATCCACATGTATAAACACTGAAAGCCATTCTGTTGCTCTGACTTTTTAGACCTATACTAAAACAAAAAAATGCTAATAAATTGAAATTGTGTCGTTTATTTTTTACAGGTTCTATAAATATCTGCAGACCAAGGCTGTGAGGCTGGAGAAGATCACACTTGCAGTAAATATATTTTTTTTCCTACCTCTGCCTGTTTGGTTTTAGTTTTCCATATGAATCAACAAGCTGCATGAAGCTGGGACCTGGGGTTCTGATCTAGGGAGCCTCATCCTGAAGGCCAGCACTGCGGCTCAGAATCTCAGGTCCCAGAAGGCAGGTTCATTATTTCATCTCCAGCCGACAGCAGAACCTCTAGACCAGCTGCTTCCACACAGACACCTGTGGAGCCCAGTGATGAGGAGCTGGTCCAGGCTGCTGGCGACATGGAGGAATTTAAGTAACAAGCATCTAATTTATCAGACTTTTGTTTACAAAAAAGATACAGCTGATGCTGACAGTTTTCTAACATTTTGTTTCACAAATGATAAAAAAAAAGTAAACCTAGGGTGAAACAATAAGTTGGAGTCAATAAATAATTTATTTTTGGCCATTAGCTGCAGCTCACTCATCACTAACTGGCTGCTGCTTTTCACCTGTAGATTCCTCATCATGTCACCCGTTTCTTCTTCTTCTCGTCACCCACCACACTCCTTCCCCATCTTAAAGAAGAAGGTCGCAGGATGGCCACAGGGCATCGTCAGGCAGCTGCCCCCCACCTACAGCTGCCAGTTTCCTGCTGAGCTCACGTACAAGTAAGAAACCAGTAACTGTCTTGGTTCTTTATTATTATAAAACAATTAATAGAAGGAGAAGAAAGTATCTTAAAGTGGTATGGTTTTCCTGCAGGCCGTCCTGTGACCAGAGGGTGGTTGGACAGCTGAGGTCTCGCTTGGCAACAGTGCGACCTGGCTGTACAACACCCTGCAGGGGCAACACTCAGGTTCCTGGATGTGGAGATCGATCCACTACTCGATCCAGGATGGTGCAGAGAAGGAGGAGATGAAGGTCTGAATGAAGGTGTTGTGGACTGGGACAGTCTCTGAGATGTGGAGGCTGCAGCGCCTCAGACTGGAAGAAAGTGAGAAGAGTGGTGAGAACAGCAGAGAGGATCATCAGGGCTCCTCTTCCCTCCATATAAGACATTTAATCCCAGCTCTGCGTGTCCTGAGCCCGTTACATCATCACATCCCCCCCATGGACTGTTCTCCCTGCTGCCCTCTGGGAAGAGGCTTCAGAGCTACGAAAAATCTGACTGAATCAGGAAATAAAACAGCCTCAATGGCTGTAATGAGAGCGGAGACAGAGGACAGAGTTTACTGAAGAAAACCTGCTACCATCCAGGTTAGCTCTGGGGAGAATGTTACTATGGCAACCGAAACTGAGGTTGAATAAACTCTTTGTGAAATGGAAAAGTCAGTTTCCCTTTTCAGGTTAAGAAAACTTATTCAGTAAACCTGCTTCTTGAAACGGCCCCCTGGATTTTACACTTTGTTGTTTAAACATCAATAAATATGTAAAAATAGATAAAAGCATCACTGTCCCAGGTTCCTAAGTTAATTTTGATGATCTTTATTTCTTTTAATCGACGAGCTGGAAATGTCTCCAGACTGGATTATAGAAATCTGGTCACCTTATTCTGGTTCTGATGGTTTTCTGTTTTGTTTCTGTTGGACTTCAATGCTTTCAGTTTTTCACATCACTATGGTATCTATAAAAATGTTATTTTCTTTTGTTGCATTATTGTTCCTCGTCATTTTGACATCTATAAATGTTAACTGTTCATTGTTGTCTTGAAGTAAATTGTAGTTGAAATCAAATTAATAAAACTGTTTCTTGTCAGATTTAATATGCTGTCTTGGGATTTGTCATTAACATCGACACCCTCATGATTATTCCTGAACAGTTTCAGCGACGGCAGTAAATCTGCACCTACAGCTTTAGCCAAGATCATTTGGAGCTGGTCTTCAATCAGAGCATCAGGTTGAAATTTCAGTTTTTGATTTTAGTTTTTGTGCATGCCCTTCTTAACAGTATTACACTCTCAGATTATTATGTATTGTTTTATTTTAGTCAAAGCTGCGCTGTAAACTAATAGAAATAGGATTTTAAGAGCTCATTTTCTGTTAATGCCCTAGCTGTAGTGGTGGGTCCAGCAATCCCCATAAGTCGGTGCATGCATTGAGCCCATAGAGCAAAGCGCTGTATCGGTGTAAGTGTCGTTCAAAGAAAGTCATGTGATCGATACAGGAGTCGTTTCTGACTGACTGACACACAAACTGTTTAAAAACGTATCTGCCAACATGATGTATCTGCTAAAAAAAAAAAAAGTCTCATCTTTTGCGGTTTATCACTAAAATTATCAAGACGTTTGGAGCAGCCTAAAAGCAATAGGAATGTTTCAGCCGTTGCGTTTTTATTTTTATTTTCTTGTGTCATTCTTTTCCTCCCAGGTATCACTAAAACGGTCAGTTCAGATGTTTTATAAAATATGTGAATCAGGAAATTGTCTATATACCAAACTGAAAACAAAAAAAACTCTTTAGATTTAAAATGGAAAAAAATTCTATATTTTTTTTTTTAAGTCGATTCAGTTCAATTAAGTTTATTTATATAGCACCAATTCACAACACATGTCATCTCAAGGCACTTTACTATTCACCACATCATACAGTCAAATTTTATGCATCCCTATAACCTGGATTAATAAACACCTCATTTTACTTCCGTAATAAATTTGGTTTAAAGTGACAAATTATATTACAAAATGACTCCGGACCTTTACTGGTTGTTGATTTTTTTTATTAAGACCCCATTGATTTTTAATTGGTTTCCCCTGTACTAGGTCATCAAATCAATTCACTTTAGGCTGTCAAATAAGCTGCCTGTAGTGCCTTTAAAGGTCCAGCAGGTGTCAGTATTCTGCGAGACAGTATCAACACAGTATCAGTAGTTTGGCAATGTGTCCAAACACTTCAAGATGCCTCATTAACCATCACTACCTAGCTTTAATTGACACACGAACTAAAGTTAATGGAGAAAAGGTACCAAACTCAATATATAAAAGGTTCTTTGTTTAATACAGTAACTTTATTGATCCCACACACCAGTAATTTACATTTCATAAGCTCTAATGTAATGCAAAAAATCATTTGTATGGTCAACAATTTACCAAGCATTCTGGTTTGTTTCAGTATATGTAATTTAATTCTAGATAGCAAAATAAGTATTGTCAATATTTTCACAGCTCAGATTCCCTTTTCAGATATTTCGTCTTTAATGTCCATCTATTCCTGTCTCGCAGGAATATGTTTTTGATTAAATAAACTGCAGTTTCATTTAATTCATTCGAACTTTTAGAATTTATGTTACAAGAACAATAAGTGTTTATTAGAAATAGGATCATTAAAACTGCACCCACATTCAAGGCAGAGGTAGGAAAAAATATATTTACTGCAAGTGTGATCTTCTCCAGCCTCACAGCCTTGGTCTGCAGATATTTCTGTAACCTGTAAAAAAAAAAGGGCACAATTTCAATTTATTATGCATGTTTTTTGTTTTAGTATAGGTCTAAAAAGTCAGAGCAACAGAATGGCTTTCAGTGTTTATACATGTGGATGCAGTAATCGTGCGCCGCCACCGGAGGGCACTAGAGGATCATAACAAGGAGAGCTGTTGATGGAGCTCCGTGTGTCCTGCTGTTGCAGGCATCTCCTCTCAGCCTAAATTCTCTTTAAATGGAAACAAACACAGCTGGGAAACGGGTAGATAAATCTAGATCATATAAACGAGCGAGTCTTCTATTCGGATTTCACTAAACAGCGAGTATGAGGGACTAGTTTTCATTTTAAAAGCCAGCCAATCATGTTAGGCCTGGTCTAAGTTCCCATCATGCATCTGTGACAACAAAACGCTGAATAAACAGAAAACCTACCAGGATCAGAAGTGAGTTGGGTCAAAGTTAGTGATATAGAATTGCTCACTCAGATAATCAGATCTACAGGTTTGACAACATGTTTTTATTTGATCAGACTTTCTGCAATAAAAACTAAATAAATAAAAATCAAACATTACACCGTCTTGCTGGGGTACACAGTAAGGTGGGGGTATAACTCCTACTCCAAGCCTCCTCTAGAGTGTCCTAGTTTACTAGGACATATACTAAAATTGGAACGATACAGAGAAGATTAGCATGGCCCCTGCGCAAGGATGACACGCAAATTCGTGAAGCGTTCCTCATTTTTAATCTTTTAAAAATAATGAAAACAATAAAGAATGTTTTCAAGCCTTTTTTCCACTTCTTGCTCCCAGTTCAGGGGCTGTGTTCTAAACATGGGGGAAAATCGTTTACTGCACTGTAAAGAGACAGCCACGAGGTGGCGCTGCTGTTTCAATCTTCAAGCGCAAACCAAACTCCGAGAAATGTCGTTCTGTCAAAGTGGAGTTAAGGTGCCTTTAAGTGGTCTATCAAAAGCCGACGTAAAAATCGCTCATCAACACCCAGTCGTCTAATTTCCACTGGAAAGCTGAGAAAATTCTACCCCGAGTTTCCGAGATGAGCTAGGCTTTGACCTTTCGACATGGCGGAGAGCAGTGACGCCACTCCGTCTGGTAGCTTGGCGTCGTTAAGCTCTTAGCCTATGCAACGCCCCGGCATATTGATAAAAATAAAAATAAACTATTATCACCTTTAAACTTGTGTTGGTTTTGAAATTACCGTTATTGTTTGCATTTACCAGAGCAACTTGACCAGCATGATGCTGGTCAAGTTGCTCTGAAGCAGAGACGCCTGGCTGCTCTTTGACTATGGCAGGCTGTTTTGACATTTATTAGCTTGACTGAATATATATTTCAGATGGCTCAAATGCATTTCTTCCTAATTAAAGTGAACATTTTAGATATCTAAAATAATATTCTTCCTATTCAAAATAAGCATTTTTCCAATCTAAAAAAAGAATTCTGACAATGATGAATTCTAATTTCAGATCTCCATAATATGGTTACTGTTGGCCATTATGACAATTTTAGATATCAGAAATGCATATAACATTACAGCTATCCAGAAATCCAATTCTTGACATCAAAAATATATTTCTACTAGTAGAAGTGTCATTAGAGATATCAACTACTTATTTTATGGCTAGTTAAATTAGAATTCCAGATATTTTTGAATGCCACTTGCAAAAAGAACAAGGCTCTTCTTAAACATAAAATAGGCAGACTGGCTAGTCACATTTCTATTATAGATAGCACTAAAACAAATTCCAACTTGTCAAAATTACAATATTCCTAGTCAGAGCTTTATTATAGATATCACTAATTATATTTCTACCAGTAGAAATTACATTTTAAGTTATCTGGAATTCAATTTGCACTTGTAAGAACTACATTTTAGATATCTATAAATCTGAAATAACTTTAAGTGGCCGTTTTAACATATATTTGCTTGACCAGATATGTATTTCAGATATCTGTAACAGTATTCTTCCCATCTAAAATGAATATTTTAGATATCTGAAATGTAATTCTTACTATTACAAATGACATCACTTTCCCCCATTCATGTGTATTGGGCTTTAACTTTCAAATACCCAAAATGACATTACTCCTATCTAAAATAAACATTCGGGATGTCTAAAAATAAATTTCTGATCTATATGTTACTGATCATCATTTGTATTTCAGATATCAAGAATCAGTGAATAAAAATAGCATGTCTTATGTAGTTTAAGGCTTTCGAACCTTTCGATCCGACCAAGCAAATATATGATAAAACGGCCACTTAAAAATAAGATTTGTAGATAAGTGACAGTGAATTATATATATATATATATATATATATATATATATATATATATATATATATATATATATATATATATATATATATATATATATATATTATAAAGATAATATAGAAGAGCAGGGAAAGCATACATGGAGCGCCATAAATAAGTGGCTGGAATAGTGTACAGGAACATCTGTGCAGAGTATCAGAGCTTTTACTTATTAAACTACATATATACACTATATATATGTATATAGAGACTAGAACATCCCTTTACTGTCCCACAATGGGTAAATTGTGGTGTTACAGCAGCAAAAGATCACATCAAAAGTTGTCGCACAACTGAATAAGTGACAGAGAATATAAATGCTGTGTTTCTGAAGATGACATTTTATGGTATATATCTATATATATCTATATCTAAGGTCAGGGAGGGTTTGCTATGACTCAGTAATGATGAATGATTAGTGGACATGTGTTTTAATAGGTTAACTCAAAAAACAGCCGATCTGACTCCTAACCAGCCCAAATGATCTCCACCCACCCAAAAGAAAAGTGTGAGCTGTAGCTGCATGCAGCTATTGAAAAAAATCCTACAGTGTATGCCTGACTATAGGTGAAAGCAATCAATCCAAGGTCACTCCTTATATTATGTCCATGGTCAGTTCATCAGGATTATGATCCCACTAAAATATGTAGTTGTTGTTCGGGGGGGGGGGGGGGGGGGGGGGGGGGGGTAGATCTCCAGCCTAACGCCAGTGTGACAGATTAACTGGTGGCGAGATTACTGGTTGAAACTCTGCCTCACAATGGAGTGTCATTTCTCCTGCTTCACCATAAGCTATAACTCAAACCTGCAGCTTGGAGGAGCAAGTCCGCCACTATGAAAATCTCTGAATGTAAATAGAAATCCATGCAGGCCTATCAACGCAAAACATGTTTCAGCACCTTTCAAGAAAAACTGGATCAATGCAAAAAAAACAATTGGGCTTCTCATCCTTCCTTCCAACTAATCCCACTTTATTTTTCAGATTGTGAAATTAATTCAATTCAATTTCAATTCAGTTTATTTATATAGCGCCAAATTCACAACACATGTCCTCTCAAGGCACTTTACAGTTCAACCAGATCATACAGTCAAATCGATACAAAGTTTTCTATCTAAGGAAAACCAGTTGATTGCATAGACTCATTGACTCAAATACAATCCCCCACACTAAGCATGCTTGTAGCGACAGTGGAGAGGAAAAACTCCCTTTTAACAGGAAGAAACCTCCAGGAGAACCAGGCTCAGTGTGAGCGGCCATCTGCCGAGGCCGACTGGGGTTCAAGGAGACAGAAGCAGAGATACAAAAAGCAGCTGTAAAAGGCGGCCCCGTCCAGGAAACACACAGCCAGGCAGACGAGCTCCGAGCCAGCTCCCATTCCAGAGGACGAAGAGAGCACATCCACTCAGTCACGGTCAGAGAAACAGGACCACACTGGAAAACAGGCCGATCTCCAACATCTATAAACAAGGGTGTTGATGGAAGCAGCACAGCTGATGTTTCTTTCCAGGATGTCGTCACAGCCAAACAGAAACAGACGAGGCAAAGCTACTCTGAGAAAAAGCAGAGAGAGCAGAAGGTTAGAGATTGAACTAACAGATTCTGCAGAATAGGAGAACAGAGAGAGAATGAAGCAGAATGATGAAATGGGGGTCCCTATGTCCTCCAAAAGTCTAAGCCTATAGCAGCATAACTATAGAGATAGCTCAGGATAACCTGAGCCACCCTAACTATAAGCGTTATCAAAAAGGAAAGTTTTAAGTCTAGCCTTAAAAGTAGACAGAGTGTCTGCCTCACGGACTAAAACTGGTAGTTGGTTCCACAGGAGAGGAGCCTGATAACTAAAAGATCTGCCTCCCATTCTACTTTTAGAAATTCTAGGAACCACTAGTAAACCTGCAGATTGAGAACGAAGTGTTCTGTTAGGAACATAAGGAACAATCAGATCTCTGATATAAGATGGAGCTTGGCCATTTAAGGCTTTATATGTGAGAAGGAGGATTTTAAATTCTATTCTGGATTTAACAGGAAGCCAATGAAGAGAAGCCAGGATAGGAGAGATATGATCTCTCTTTTTCATTTTCATTAGAACTCTGGCTGCAGCATTTTGGATCAGCTGAAGGCTTTTAACTACAGTTTGTGGACTTCCTGATAGTAAAGAATTACAATAGTCCAGCCTTGAAGTAACAAATGCATGGACTAGTTTCTCAGCATCACCCCTGGACAGGAGATTTCTAATTTTTGCAATGTTCCTCAGACGAAAATTCTAGAAACCTCTTTGATGTGGGATTTAAATTAAGTTATTTTCTTTTTATTAGATTCCATTCTTTCACTTTTCCTTTATTTTCTTGTTTGGACACAGATACCAGCCTTTACAAAGGAAGTTGTTTTTGTGTTTTTTTCTCAGAGACCCTAAAACTCTGTCCTATATGATGAAATGTTTGATGAAATAAACACCTTTATTTGTTTTGCTATTGTGTTCAGCCTGTATTTAGTTTTAAGTTATGAGACCATAACTGGCTGCTTCTGAACTGGTTTTACTGCCCCCTATGTACAAAGGGGGTTAAATGTATTTATTATTTATTCCACATACATGGTGTAGTGGGAAAAAAGTATTCAACCATTCACCCTAGTTAAATAAACAGAGATCGATGGATTTCACTCAGTCAGCACATTTATTAATATCTTTGCAAAGAGAATACAGTTCATCATACAGCCTTAATGGCACAGCATTCAGCCCTGTTCTGAACTGGGCAGCGTTCGGAGTAGTAGTAGTAGTAGTAGTCAGAGTCAAAACAAATTACAGACACTTTGGTTAAACAGTAACATGTTATGAATAAACCGTGAGAAAGAATCTGGTTTGTTATGAAGCAATGTCTGGTCTTCAAACACCATCCTGCAGAGAATGGTGTGGCCTTGAGAGAGGAACAGACTGAGTGAAAAGTTTTATAGTGAGTAAATAGAATAAATTAACATATAATAGAAGAGAAATCAAAATTTTCAGACAACAATGGCCAGCACAACGACCAGAACTTCTCGCTCCCGCTGAAGTAGTGGATCGATCTCCGCATCCAGGCATCAGAGTGCTGCTGCCGCAGGGTGTTGTACAGCCAGGTCGCACTGTTTCCAAGCGTGCAATACCTCAGCTGTTCAACCAACCTCTGGTCACAGGACAGCCTGCAGGAAAACCATACCACTTTAAGATACCTTCTTCTCCTTCTATCAATGACACCTTTGTTTTAAATTAATAAACAACTAAGACAGTTACTGTGGTTGTGCTTACTCGTACGTGAGCACAGCAGGAAACTGGCAGCTGTAGGTGGGGGGCAGCTGCCTGATGATGCCCTGTGACCATCCGGCGACCTTCCTCTTACATTGACGGCACTTCAGTTACTCGGCCATGAGGTACCAGCCATCAATGTCCAGGCCAATCTGGATGGTCCTGTAGAGCCCAGCCTTCGCCATGGACCCGGTGCACGAAGGCTGGGGGCACGTCAGCTGCAGACGCCAGATCCTGTGGGGCATCCACAGGAACAGCCGACATGCAAAGAAGGGCTCAGGGGATGCAGGAGGCTGGTGGTAGACCGGCTGGGGCTGTGGAGGGAACCACCACAGGTTGAGGTCTGTGGTGAGGCGAGGCCTCCCCAGGTGGTCCCTGACGAACAGCATCTGACTGATCCACTCCTGCTGCTCTGCTGTAAGCGCTGCCCTCCAGGACTGAGGCAGCATCTGCAGAAACTTGCAAACGAGGCTTCTACTGATTCCTGGCTGCTTGAACTATAAACTCTCTGTCAGCAAACCTCAGCAGGAGGTGGTGAAGGGTCCCGTCTGGACGGGGTCTCCTGCATGGAGGGTGGCTCTGGAGGATCCAGCCGCTGCAGGGGTTCTCCCTGCTCCTGCGTGGCCTCCAGCAGCTCCTCATCAGTGGGTTCCCCCGGTCCAGCAGGGGACACCCTCTGAGGCAGAGAGGCGGTGGAAGGACCCGCCTGTTCATCTGAGGTTGAACAAAACACACGTCTTAGTAAAACACAAGTTTAATCTGCAGCTCCCATAGTAAACACAAAAAAAGAAGCAGAAGCATCAGCAGGATGCTAGTAATGATTAATGGCTACAAATGATAAAGACAGGGAAGGAGTGTGGTGGGCGACAAGAAGAAAAAGAAATGGGTGACGTGATGAGGAATCTAGAGGTGAAAAGCAGCAGCCAGTTAGTGATGAGTGAGCTGCAGCTAATTGCCAAAATCAAATTATTTATTGACTCCAACTTACTGTTTCACTTCAGGTTCATGTGGTTTATTTTTTTTTTCATCATTTGTGAAATAAAATGGGAGCATCAGTCGTAACTTCTTGTAAACAGTCTGATAAATTAGATGCTCGTTACTTACATTCCTCCATGTCGCCAGCAGCCTGGACCAGCTCCTCATCACTGGGCTCCAAAGGTGTCTTTGTGGAAGGAGCTGGTCTAGAGGTTCTGTTGCAGGCTGGAGATGAAATCGTAAACATAAAATCACAGAAGAGAGTCACGCTGCATCTCTTTAGAATTTCATCCCACTTGTAAATACAGGCTTAGGTGAGGAGGAGACCCACTTTAGCGCAGCCTGCGTCTCCACCTCAGACAGAGGCCTGCAAAGCTGAAATCAAAAAGACAACTTAGATGCAGCACTGATGAATCAGAATCAGACATACTTTAATAATCCCAGAGGGAAATTATTTTAACAATCTCTGAATTTTTAAATAAACATAATCTAAAAAAAAAAAAAAAAAACAGACTGTACAGCAGTCCTCGCTGACAGCTTCCCTGCCAATGCTAGTCCCTCGGCGGACATGATGGTCAAGTCGAAGGCTGCCGTGGTGGAGGTGGAGACCTTCTCCTTGTCTCCGCGCCGGACATGTTCCATAGCCTTCTCCTTCTGGCAAACTGGAAAGGCTGGCGTCCGGCGCAGATAGTTGAGAGAGCTGAGCGGGTGAGACAAAGAGTCAGCAGATTCTGACATCCCAGCAGAGGCAAAACACACACAGTTTCTATCATTCTCTCATACTGGATTTTCTCAGGGTCCTTGGAGCTGTAGAGGCTCTCCAGGGTCTCATCCTTGAACTCCCTGAAGCCAACATGTGCCTGAACATGCATCATAGCAATAAAGTTTAACTTACAGCCATTTGCACTGTTGAACAATGTTAATCTGGAGAAACAAAGACAGGAAAACTGATCAGCAACAAAGTCACACTGTGTGACAGAAACTACAGGGATGAGATTTCATTTAACGAAAGGTGGGCAGAGTACCAAAGCATTTGAACTAGGCAGCTTTAAAACTACATAAACTACATAGCTATGAGGTTTCTGTTAACTATATAAACTATATAACTACTCGTATCACGCTTCCTTTAGCACAGTTTCAGTTAAATAACATGTTGCTGTCATTTTGCACATCTCTGATGTTGCTGCTATTTTCAAATATCCATTGCTGTTAAAATGTCCATAGCTGTATATTGGTTATTTATTCTCCAGGTGCACAGCATTTATATTGTTTAAGCACTTAACAGTATAGTAGCCTATTTAAATTTTTTTTTTTTAACTCTTCACTATTATGTTATTTTACACACTCTCTTAAGGAACACATTTGTGTTACCATTTTTTTCTATAATGTTTTTGCTGCTGTAAACACCAGAACTTCCTCATTGTGGGACAATAATAGGATTTTCTATTCTAAATAATAGGAGCCCAATCAGTCGAAGTAAAAAGTATAATGCTGTAAAACTACTCCTGAAAGTAATTTTTATTTTTTTTTCCAAAGTTCACTCTGAATTTCACCCATTTTAAGCGGGTTCTAATTAATATAGAAACATGTCATTAAGTTTTTGCTGCAAAATTGCACTCTTAAAACATTACTTAAAATGATTTGGAATTACAACTCCATAATTTCTTTCATAATACATGCGCTACGATCAAGTCACGTTACCGATTGGATCCTTATTTCCATGTGGAGTCGGAGTCAACTTGTATTAGCTGCTGCTGCTGCTGCTAACAAGCTAAAAACAAACCAACTGGCCATAAAGGTTGAGCACAGCTGGAAGAGCCTTCTTAGATTGGAACTAACGGAGCCATCTGATTGGCGCGACAAAGGTCTGATTTCGATATCGATACTAATCTGCGGATGCAGGTCATTCTTCTCTGTCAAAGAAGGGGGGAGATTCGCATTTTAGAGACTCAAAGGAGAAAAAAAGAATGACTGCGCTCATCTAACAAAACTAAACCATCTAACAAAAACACCTTCAAGTGTGTTGCTGATTAAAAAATGTTACTTGTGTGTCACTTTTTTAAACCCTCATATCTAAAAAATAGAGGAGAAATTAGATGTTATGCATTCAAAGAAGACATTTATTAAACAAACTGGCAACGAGCTTTCCAAATTGAGCATTTTTTTATTCTTAAGACTGCCATGAAATTAAATATTAAAGGTGTGTGCTTGTTCCTTACCTGCTTTGTCTCATACCTGCCTCACCAGCACCGATGAGGCAATAGCAAAATGGCCCCGATTAGCAGATTGACAGTGCTGCAACACCATGAGCTTTCTGTTAGATTTAATCAGTGCGGTTCATGTATATATATATATATATATATATATATATATATATATATATATATATATATATATATATATATGTGGTATAATAAAATGTTACCTTATCAAAAATATTAAATATACTTGATTGGATTATTATATTCAACTTAATAGTTTGAGTTAGTAAATGTTAATGGTTTAAGGCAATCTGTTCCCTCAAATTATTTGAGTTTAACTCACTTATCTTAAGTTTAACAGTGTATATTGAGCTGAACAGAACTCCTGCATGAGTAGTCGAGCACTTTTAGAGCTCTGGTTTTTACAGAATTAAAGCTGCGTGTAACATCGACATATAACAAACATATAAATTTGAAATTTAACAAAGGAGGATTGGAGGGAGAAGGTCCTACGCCACAGAATTTGCAAAGTTTCTCAGCCCTCCCATCTTCCTCTGTCCCTATCAGAGTCTTTCTATGAATGAACTGAGCTCCAACTTCACAGATTCTCTTGTTTTACCACCATTTTGTTGCAGCTGTTGTGTCTTAATTACGGTATAATAAAAGTAATGAGCCAGTTTGGAGAAAGCAAGGAGTAGAAAGTAAAGATATTTTAGCTTTAAATGTAGTGAGTTAAGGTAAAGAAAAACTATCTAAAAAAAAAAATACTGAAGTACAGACACCAAATAAATAACTTAAGTATTTCACATTTCTGCATGTTAATACCTACAGAGAGGAATGAACCATTTCCACTGACTTCCACTTAAATCATCATTGTATATGGTAAAAAAAAAAAAAAAAAAAAAAAAAACCCTGCTTTCCCTAAAATAACACTGGTGAATATGTCTTGAATAATAATTATTTAAGACCATTTATTCAGATCCAATGTGTGTGCATGTGCATGGAGAGACTTAGAATTAAACTAGTTTTATTGTCATTTTGTATATACAGAGTGTATACAAAAATGAAAATTCATTTAGTACAGCCTTTCAGACAGTAAATGAACATTTCCATTCCTTAAAATACAGCAGTAATCAAATGTAAACAGTGTGGGAGAACAACCATGGTGCAAAAAATGCATTAAAATGGAAGTTAAGAGAATGAACTATGTATGGTGCAAATATGCAGTATTTTTGGTTTGGTGTTATCTGTTTGATGCAGAGTTTGTGACATGATTTAGAGTTTTTTTTTGTTTTTTCTCCCAGCAGTTCAGCTGTCTGATGGCAGTGGGGAAGAAGCTGTTGCTGGACCTACATTGAATGATGCAAAGCTTCTTCCCAGAGGGTGGCAGGGAGAACAGTCCATGGTGGGCGTGTGAGGGGTCATTGATGATGTTACGGGCTCGGAACACGCAGCGCTGGGATGAAATGTCTTTATGGAGGGAAGTGGAGCCCCGATGATCCTCTCTGCTGTTCTTACTACTCTTCTCACCTTCTTCCAGTCTGAGGTGCTGCAGCCTCCACACCACACAGTGAGACAGCTGGTCAGAACGCTCTCTATGGTGCTTCTGTAGAAGGTGGTGAGGATGGGTGGGGGCAGGTGGGCTCTCCTCATCCTCCGCAAGAAGTACATGCGCTGCTGTGCCCTTTTTACCCGTGAGGTGGTGTTTACAGTCCAGGTGAGGGTGTCTGTGATGTGCATCCCTAGGAATTTGGTGCTGCTGACCATCTCTACAGCTGAGCTGGGCATGTATAAAATAATCAATTGAAAGTCAGATCGCCATATGCTTCAAAAAACACCAAAAAGTAAGCAATTAAGTAGTTTTTTAGTATATGACTAAAGGTATACACACCCGATGAGGTAGTTTAAAGTGTTGTTTTTTTTTTAACAAATCTAAAGGGATACACTACAAGGATAAATGGGTAATGACTGGGTATGCTCATCTGACTGAACACCGGTTCTTCCTGAAGTTGATGTTGATCTCTTTTGTCCTCTTCATGTTCAAGATCAGGCTGTTATCTTTGCAGAGGTGGGCACTGTTTGCACTTGCATTTGAACTCCTTACACAACCTGATCAAAGGACAGCATAAAGTGACCTTTGACAGTCACTTTAACACAGTGCACATTGTGTTAGCATTAGAAAGCTGAATCAGGGCCAAGTTTAGCATCCATTGTTTCCCCTGAAGTGGATATTTGAAGAAATGATTCCTATGCGTATATTGAATTGTTTCACTTTATAATTTGGGTCTTTGTTTTCAGTATGTCCCCCTCCTCAGATGAGTTTGTATGTCGTTTGTGATCCTTTATTTTCCAGCTCTACTTAAAGTAAAATATTTATTAACATCAAGGACAGTGTGAGTTAATTTTAAGGGGAAACATGGTTTTATTAGATCCTGATTTAAAATTTCTTACAAACACATCAGTGAAAAAGAAAAAACAGTTTGCCACGTGGAAGTTTCCTGTGGAATGACTTCATGGGGTCAATGAAAGCTTTCTTATTCAAAATACCTTTAAACATTTCATTCAGTTTAGATTGTTTTGCTAGTAGGTAACAAAATATTTCTTCCCCGCATCTGTTTATAAATGTTGATCCATTTGCATCCAGGTCAAGGTGTGGAATCCAAATCTTTACGAAGAATGTTATGTGCTGGAGAAATTTGGCATTTGTGCACCATTTGATCCGACTGGTGAGCGCGTCTTCAACTGTTTCCATACGATTCGCTGAATCGCTGCTTGAGATAGTCGCCTCCTGTGATGGGAGGGTATTTGTTTGAGCCATCGTAGCACGTGATTAGGGCCTCGTCGTCTGGCTGGACGAAGTAGGCCAAAGACTGACGAGTGCTTGAGTCTCCAGCTGGGGGCAGCAAAACACGGTGACGCTGCGAAGACAGGAAGCCATATTACTTGATTTTATTGATCTCACAGTGGACAAATTTACTCGTTACGTCAGCTTAAATAGTCAAAAGAGAAGAAGACAGTGCTAAAGAAAGAAAAAAGGTTCTTGGATATATACAGTATATACAATGGTCCACATATGACAGCTTTTTTTTCTATAGTAGGATCATTATACAGGTACACAGGGTGTTTACATGGGTATTTAAGTAGATGGATATTTATATTTATATATACAGTTATAGCACTGGGTGTCAAATATAGAGAAACAGGTTATTGCACAGGGTATAAAATGGTGAATTATACATTGCACAAGTTATTGCTGTTATAGTGTTGCATTGTAGAGTCAGGTTGCAGCAGGGATGAATGACCTGCGGTAGCGCTCCTTTTTACAAATAGGGAGTAAAAGTCTTTCACTAAAGGAGCTGCTCAGCTCCTCTACAGTCTGGTGCAGAGGGTGAAAGGTGTTGTCCATATATAATATATGCTATATGCTATGGATATAAGCTTGGACAGCACCCTCCTCTCAGCAACTTCCTCCACTGGGTCCAGGGTGCAGCCTAGGACAGAAACGGCCTTTCTTACTAGTTTGTTCAGCCTGTTTCTGTCCCTCTCTGCGCTGCCAGGGGTCCAGCAGATGACAGTATAGAGGAGGGCTGATGCCACCACTCCCACTCTAACTTCTACCCCCCAAACACCAGACATCATTTAGATGTTGGTTTTAGCCCAAGTCTGGATTTAGTCTAGAAATAGTTGATAATAAACTTTAGTCCAATAATAGATTATATATATAATAGAAGGATGAGTTTAACTGTTTGTGCTTTTCATTACAGGAACATTTTAATTCATGCCCCGCCCTACTCTGACTGAGCATAGGTGGGGGTGTCTCCCAACCTGGAGACAACAGGCTCCAGGTGAAGATAATCAAATTAGGATTTGGGAGATGTTCACTCACAGAACAGCAATGCGGCCTGTGAGGGTGGCTGGGTGAAGATGACACTGCAGGAAAGTTTGTTCCAAAGAAAAGGAGCCGGTGAGCCACAGACTGTTTGAAGTGCGGAAAGATTATAGATTAATTTATGGTACATTGAGATTGAAATGCTAAAATGATTGATGGCGAGATAAAGCTCCATAAAGCACTGAAGCATTCCATCCAATTAGTTTGCTCACGTGCCATCAAGTGGACAACAAATATAAAACATGCAGTGTGATTATAATGACACTATGGCTTCGGTCTGTGAAGCATTGAATAAATTAATCAATAATGTTTGTGATGCTTCTACATAAATTATAAACTTTTATATGGTTGCTTTCTTTATGATAAAATGACACAGTCAGTATTTTATTCATTATTTTGGTCCAAAATACTAGTTAAGTATTATAGCCACTTTCAAAAGCCAAGTCCAGGCCTGGACCCAATAACCATTGGATAGAAAGACAGACCCCTACTGCAGATACCACTATCACTTTCAGAAAATAATATTTCTGAATACTAATAATACAACTGAAACCAGTGGCTTGATTAGTTTCTGATCATTATATTGTTTAATATGACCAAAATAGTTTTAATCAACTAAATTGGTTGGAAAAATAACCAATCTATTCTTAGAATATATCCAATATCCAATTTTGGCTCCTCCCCTAAATGAGGCAAGCCTCTATACGCGCTTCACGGGAATGCCTCCTCCACTAATCGACACACGCCTTAAAGCCTCGGTTTAAACTAGCCATTACTAGTTAAAACGTATTGAGATGGTAAATAAGGATTTATTTAGAGTGTGTGTTAAAGAAAAGGTAAATAAATACTAGATTGTAAAAAATCATTACTGAATAATACTTTAAATATGTTTTGATTTGGGGTGCTTAACTCTTACGGTATATTTTGTTCAGGTAAAAGTTATTTAAAGGGTGTTAAACATTGTTTTCTGTGTGTTTATGTTTAAAGGCTTTTCACCTATTACCGTACTTGTGCAATTTTAACAACTTTCAATTAAAAGAGGAAAAAAAAGAATCAACTTTTAAGTTTTCAGTGAAATGCAATCAACAGCTCAAAACTATTTTGATGTTTAACATCCAGTCAACATTTCATGTAAGACAGCAAAGAAAATGTGTCAAATCCTTTTTAATTTACCACAGAGACCAAGTGATCACTAGTCCAGCGCTGCATCAGGTCAGCAATGTTGACCAAGACGGCTCCAGGGATAGTGGGCACAGAGATGAACTCCCCTGTTAGTGTGCAGACCTGGAAGGAGGATCACATACAAAACATGGTTAAAAACATATTCAGCAATCGAATAAAATAAAATTTAAACAATTAAAGGACCCTAAATTGCATCGCATGATACTTTAAATAAAGAATTCAACTCTAAAAAAAATCAGGCTAAAGAAACATGTAAAAAAAACAACTTTACCTTCTATAAATTTGAACTCCATCCCAATATAAAATCTATGATCAAATCCTGCTGATGCATGTACTGAACATACTTAACAGAAGGTGATAGAGTTACCTGCAGACCATCGGAGCCCTGGAAAAGCAGAGTGATGCTGCCGTAGTCTGAATGTTCGCCACATCTCAGCTGTCCCTCCTTAGCGCTCTCTCTTCTTACCGGGGGATAGTAGAGAGAGCGCAACGTCGTGCCGTTCTCATCAGCTACAGGAGAAACAGCAGCTCTATTAAAATACATAAGCTTGGAAAGTTTACATATTCAGTTTCAGCAGAATTAATTTCTCTCCATGATGCACCATGACACCAGAGAGAGAATCTGTGAAACCTACTTCCTATAAATCGATGTGCTCGCAGGAACACATCTGGATCCAGACCGAGGCTCTGGGCCATCACCCTCAGCAACCGCAGACTCAACTCTTTACAGCGCTGGAAGAAAGACACTTGGATCTCTTGGAATCCTCTCACAGCATCTGATGATGGCCATTTCTGCAGAGTAGAGAAGCAAAGTAACCTGAGCAGAGAAAAGTACTAACCAAAATTTAGAAACTTTTTATCATGCATCTTTATATGCATTTAGCTGCCAAAAAATAAAGTATTTTTTTTTGTAAAAAAATAACTTTGTGTTTCCTGATTACAAAAACATAAGCTCATTTCATTTCAGTGTAAGCTTGTTAAAGCATTGCTGTATATTATTAGAAATGTTACTACTAAAGAAATGCCTTGAAGCATTATTACTTTGCTTTATTCCCAAAGATCTTTTTTAAATCATTTATTAATTCCTTTACATCCAAGAAAAAGAGCTTTAAAAGGCATTAAAGCACAGTTGTCCAAATGGCGAAGAGTCTGTGCAGTAAAAAGGCTTTGGGTCCCAATTCCCCCTAAGCACCAACTGTTTCTAAAGGAATGTATTGCTGAATCATGCTCCCACCGGTGAAGAGCTCACTCTGGCAGTAGGCGAGTGAAAGTCTAACTACCCAACACAAGGCAAATACTCCCAATGATGGAAAGGGAGGCAAATAGAGCTGCAACTAGGTTCCTTAAAGAAGATTTTTTACAAAATTAAACCAGGTGAAAGTAAAACTTTTCCACTTGAGGATTTCTGGATAGAGCATATTAACAGATAAAAACGTTTTTCATCTTAAATGCATAATATTTACATTTTTTTTTTCAATTCTGATATAATTTCTGCTCTAAGTGGGTCGCTTTCTCAGCTAAAGACATGTTTTACAGTCTCTATCCTCCAGTTAACGATTGATTATTAAATCAGTTGACGATTATTTTAATAATTGATTACCGTAATACGAAAAATTGTTTCAGCTCTAGATTCAATAAAGTCCAAGAAAAAAACATCTGGTTATTATCTGTTAGAGCAAAAAAGAATGCACTTTGGACGAGTGGTTTCTCCATTTTATCAGCTCAATTCCCTCTCCTGTATGTCAGATAGTGTTTGAACATAAGAGAACCTCAAATGGTCAAAGATCATCACACTGAAACGTTAGGCTCCTAACCAGGAATTTCTCCAGATCTTAGTCACATTTAAAATCGGTGTACAGTTTTCATAAGGCCAGACGGGATTTGCAGATTTGGACAACAGAAAGACTACATATGTTGAGCGCCTCCTAAAAGCATTACCGTAATACTCTTTTTAACCTATTCACATAATGCACAAAATCCCCTTAGTGACAAATGGTTGTGGCAGAATCATGCTGTGGGATTACAGCATGAACATGAAGGCTGGATAGGGTTCATGGAAGAAAACCTGTTAAAAGTCTGAAAACACGGAAAAGAATTAAATCTGAGACTGTTAGTTGAAATAAGAGCATCTGCCATCGATTTGGGAAGGAAGTAAGACCATAAGATGATTTACATTTAAAATAAATAAGAAAACATATCAAGGACATATCTAATCAGCTTATTTTAAGGGCTAAAAAAATTGTAATTTTAACCCTTTAGAGAGCACTTGGTGAAATAACTTTCAAAATCTAAATTTCAAACCATTAGTGTTATTGGAATCCAGGACAACACCGTATTACCGTTGTAAGATAAAAAAAAAAAAAACATGTATACTTTGATGGCAAAGATTTATGTCAATAATGAATATATTAAGAAAAAAAATAGGGATTCTACTAGAAATTCTTTAAAAACACAAAGTGAAAGAAAAACATTTTTGTTTTGTACAACATAACCATAGAGGCATTAATGCTGATAGTGGTTCTTACATTTTTTTAGTTTATTAACCTAAATATAATTGTTAGCTAGTCTTATTAACTTCTTAATTAGTTTTTTACCTATATTTCTTGACTCACTACATTTTTTTAAGTTAATTTACAGTAGGTAATATATCATTTAAGGCTTCATCTAATTGGTCAAATGCCAAAATAAGATGTACAGCCATGTAGCAGCATCTTTGCTGAATGGCTGGTTATAGATCTTGTGCTTCTAGACCTGACTGAGGGACGGTGGGGACTACATTTGTAAGGGATATGCAAGTGTTCAAAAATGGTAACTTGCCCTATAAAGGGTTAATAGTGGATAATTTAATTATCTGCTCCAATTTTAGGAAAATACACTTTTCTGAAGAAATATTTACTAATTTTGAATTCCGTTTTTACAATAGACAAACAGCCACTTACAACTGGATATTTTACATCAAAGTATATTTATGATTTATTTATGAGACTGGCCCGATTAAGGTCTGATATAAACAAAAATCAGCACTTTATAAAACCAGCAACTGAATTTTTTTTTTTTTTTATGGTGAAGGGGCTGTTTACAATTGTCTACATTTGAACAAGTCTTCAAAAAATCCTATTTTGAGACACCTTCCCCAATAGCCTACAGGAAAAATTTTTTATTTTTTTTTGTCCCTTTATCATTTTTTTTTTTTTTTTTACAAAGAACCAATTAATATCTGTGGCTATGATGAGGTAAAATTATCGTTTTAAAATACTTACTTACAATCTTGCTGTTTTATACCAAGTACACTTTAATTATAGAATAAAATGTGCGATAGTGTTAGCTGAAATGTCATTTAAAAGTTTTTGAACATTTGCTCAAATGTTGAAAATTGTAAACGAGACTAATATCTGAGTTTTCTTATATTTCCTAATCTTATCATTATTGCTGTAATACTCTGGATCAATACAGACAGACGTGAAACCATCCACTGAAGTGTACTTTAACCTCAAACTGATAGGCACTGTAGAAGGGTCTTTTTTATTATGTCTGAACACAAACACATGTAAGAACACAGAAAGACACGCTGAGTAAAATCCTCCCTGTGAACGCTTACAATGTCAGGGTGAAATGATGTAGTGTTGAAGGCCTCCTTTAGGTCTCCAGGCCGGCTCGGGTTTAACCTAAAAAAATATTTTCCAGATTAAAGATCAGTCAACAAGATTTAACATATTATTTTACCCAGCTTTCTATAATTATTTATACCCTATGAGCTTTTCATGTTACCACAACAAATGTCTGCATTTTGTTTTGAGGTGTTATGCAATAGGATAATGCAAAGTAGGCTAGTAGGCCTAAGTAAGGACAAATTGAAACTTTTCACAAAGCAGGTTTTATCAAATTCAGGCTGAAATCCTCAACTCGGAATTGATCTTGCCTAAGGTCAGAAACTCTGAATTGTCAGTTTCATAAAAGCTGCTGTGAGTTAGTTGAACTAACTCTGAGTAGGTCCACTCAGTTAAGCACGTGCATAACAAGATTTGGTGAGTCACCATGGCAACCGGAAGTGCCAATTTTCACAACACTGGGACTTCATTTACTGCAGAAATTAGGGAAATAAATGAGAATTTGTTTTAAAGACATAGAAATAGAGCTTCCGATGCAAAGGAGAGGAAGATGGTGTAGGAGAAGATTTAGTCTTGCATATAAACTTATGCATGCATTTTATATTACACATGCATTTTACATCAATAAAACAGGATTATTCCTTTTCAAATTCACAACGGGAACGTTAAATGTTGCGGTATACTAGCTTCTATTTTAGAAAAGCTTCGAATTAACTTCGTTTTTATCCTATAAAGAAGAAGAAGAATAACTTTGAAAGGCCTCGAAAAGATTTCCGGTTCTGACAGCTTAGGAGGAAACCTCACGGTGCGGGTCTACAGCTAGACTGTCTTAGGTGAAATGGTGTGAATAATTTTACACGGCACTTCTAATTTTGTCAAGGGTTTATTTTACATCTGGATGACCTGCCTCTCAGTTTCCATCGACACCCAGCCGTGGTTGGGGCTGTTAGTGAAACTCTTCCTGCTGAAGGGCTTCTTCTCCTCTTCTGGTTGCAGAAAAAACTTCTTAGATATGTCCATTACACGGTCCACCTGTGGAAATATGCAAGAACTAAAATACGAAATTCACTTTGGACGATATATCAAACCTGTACATTTTCTCAGGAGGACTTACCTCCTCTTGCGTGATCCCGGAATTTTCGAGGAAAACAAATCCAACTTGTGAAAATGCTTTTTTCAGCTCCTCACTCAGGGTTCGCAGCTGTTCGTCTGTAGCATCTTCCTTATTTAGACTATAAACACTAAAATCCACCACAGGAATGCTCATCTCTAATGACTTACTTCTCAAACAATCCCTAGAAAAAATAAATGCAGCAGTTCCAGTGTGACAGATCAACTGGGGAGGAGATCAACTGGTGACGGTCTTGTGCGAAATTCTGTTTCTCCATGAAAATCTGTTCCCCCTGTGTCGGGAGCGCGCGTTGCAGCCAGAGAGGCTGATCTGACCATTCTCAAGGCGCTCCTGATCATTTTTCGGTAAAAACAGCTCATATAATCATCTCAACTTTGTAACATCCATTTTAATCGGTTGCTCTTTTTAAAAAATTGTAAAATAAATACATTAACGAGGTCCTCTTACGCTGTTTTGTGTTGTTTTTTTAAACGCCAAGAGAATCGGTATTTCCCCAACTTTTGTCCCTTCAGCCTGACAGAAATAAACGTCAGTCACCGAACACAACAACACGTAGTGTATTTTTAATTTTTCATTGCTGATATAAGAGGATGGAAACTGGCTGATAGCAGGGCACACGGATTAAGACGTCCTGCGAAGATGAGAGAAGAATTTCTGGTTAATCACCTTCTAATGTAAAATATGACAGATTACTGGATTAAGGACATTTATAGTATACCACATCACACATATCAATTTCAGAGAAATTGGAAACATGCTCTTTGTTTCCCAAAGATATGGGAGGAGGAGAGGAGAGAATGGATGTTTCAGCTGCCTGAAATAATCTGTTCCCTCTCCATAACAGGGGAAGAAATTAATTTACCTGCAAGTCTTTAACTGTGCTTATTCCCCTCACCACCGAGAACAAATCCTGTGGATTTGGTCATATTTACTCTTTATTTGCAAAAATTAAAGGGGGGGAACAGATTATTTCAGCTGCCTGAAATAATCTGTTTCCCCTCAATAACAAGGGAATAAATTGATTTACCCGCAAGTCTTTAACTGTGCTTATTCCTCTCACCACCAGAACAAACCCTGCGAATTTGGTCATATTTACTCTTTATTTGCAAAAATTAAAGGGGGGGGAACCATATATTTCAGCTGCCTGAAATATTCTGTTCCCCCTCCATAACAGGGGAAGAAATTGATTTACCTGCAAGTCTTTAACTGTGCTTATTCCTCTCACCACCAAGAACAAATCCTGCGGATTTGGTCATATTTACTCTTTATTTGCAAAAATTAAAGGGGGGGAACCATATATTTCAGCTGCCTGAAATAATCTGTTCCCCCTCCATAACAGGGGAAGAAATTGATTTACCTGCAAGTCTTTAACTGTGCTTATTCCTCTCACCACCAAGAACAAATCCTGTGGATTTGGTCATATTTACTCTTTATTTGCAAAAATTAAAGGGGGGGAACCATATATTTCAGCTGCCTGAAATAATCTGTTCCCCCTCCATAAAAGGGGAAGAAATTAATTTACCTGCAAGTCTTTAACTGTGCTTATTCCTCTCACCACCAAGAACAAATCCTGCGGATTTGGTCATATTTACTCTTTATTTGCAAAAATTAAAGGGGGGGAACCATATATTTCAGCTGCCTGAAATAATCTGTTCCCCCTCCATAACAGGGGAAGAAATTGATTTACCTGCAAGTCTTTAACTGTGCTTATTCCTCTCACCACCAAGAACAAATCCTGTGGATTTGGTCATATTTACTCTTTATTTGCAAAAATTAAAGGGGGGGGAACCATATATTTCAGCTGCCTGAAATAATCTGTTCCCCCTCCATAAAAGGGGAAGAAATTAATTTACCTGCAAGTCTTTAACTGTGCTTATTCCTCTCACCACCAAGAACAAATCCTGCGGATTTGGTCATATTTACTCTTTATTTGCAAAAATTAAAGGGGGGGAACCATATATTTCAGCTGCCTGAAATAATCTGTTCCCCCTCCCCAACAGGGGAAGAAATTGATTTACCTGCAAGTCTTTAACTGTGCTTATTCCTCTCACCACCAAGAACAAATCCTGTGGATTTGGTCATATTTACTCTTTATTTGCAAAAATTAAAGGGGGGGAACCATATATTTCAGCTGCCTGAAATAATCTGTTCCCCCTCCATATCAGGGGAAGAAATTCATTTACCTGCAAGTCTTTAACTGTGCTTATTCCTCTCACCACCAAGAACAAATCCTGGATTTGGTCATATTTACTCTTTATTTGCAAAAATTAAAGGGGGGAACCATATATTTCAGCTGCCTGAAATAATCTGTTCCCCCTCCATATCAGGGGAAGAAATTAATTTACTTGCAAGTCTTTAACTGTGCTTATTCCCCTCACCACCAAGAACAAATCCTGCGAATTTGGTCATATTTACTCTTTATTTGCAAAAATTAAAGGGGGGGAACAGATTATTTCAGCTGTCTGAAATATTCTGTTCCCCCTCTGCTCCAGCACCACCTCCCTCTGCTCCATCATCTCCCTCTGGTCCAGGATTATCTCCCTCTGCTCCAGCACCACCTCCCTCTGCTCCAGCACCACCTCCCTCTGATTCCATCATCTCCCTCTGGTCCAGGATTATCTCCCTCTGCTCCAGCACCACCTCCCTCTGCCCCATCATCTCCCTCTGGTCCAGGATTATCTCCCTCTGCTCCAGCACCACCTCCCTCTGCCCCATCATCTCCCTCTGCTCCAGCAGCACCTCCCTCTGCTCCAGCACCACCTCCCTCTGCCCCATCATCTCCCTCTGCTCCAGCACCACCTCCCTCTGCCCCATCATCTCCCTCTGCTCCAGCAGCACCTCCCTCTGCTCCAGCACCACCTCCCTCTGCCCCATCATCTCCCTCTGCTCCAGCACCACCTCCCTCTGCCCCATCATCTCCCTCTGCTCCAGCAGCACCTCCCTCTGCTCCAGCACCACCTCCCTCTGCCCCATCATCTCCCTCTGCTCCAGCACCACCTCCCTCTGCTCCAGCACCACCTCCCTCTGCTCCATCATCTCCCTCTGCTCCAGGATCATCTCCCTCTGTTCCAGCACCACCTCCCTCTGCTCCAGCACCACCTCCCTCTGATTCCATCATCTCCCTCTGGTCCAGGATTATCTCCCTCTGCTCCAGCACCACCTGATACGCAGAGAAAATCCCTAGCAGAGAAATGTAAATTTTCTTTTAAATTCTTATAAATATATATCAAAGCAACCCTGTCTCTCGTCCTTAGACAGCTGGAGATAGGCCCCAGCACCCCTCACGACCCTGCTTGGGATAAGCGTGACATAAAATGGATGGATGTATCAAAGCACATAGATTTCACTTTGTATTATCATACATATGTGTCTGTTAAAAATGTATTTGTATGGATATGCAATTTAGTCTTTTTTTTAATGAAGAATAATTTCAGTGAGTCAGTAAAAACAGTTCTAGCTTTATTATTATTGCTATGTTCAAAGTAGCTGAATGAATCTGTGAAGTTAATACTTTCTCATTCTCCAATCATATGAATTGCATATCATTGGATAACATATGTAATATGTTGTAAAATTGAAATAGGTGCCATGATAATGAAAATAATCTTTAACTTTTGTTTCTTTTTCCACTTCTCCTCAACCCCTCCTCCTCATCAGATGTCCATGAAGCTTTTTCTGGAAAAAACGTCTTTGTCCTTCTGTCAAAAGTGAATGCATATAAGTTTTACTCTGACATTTACAAAATTGGTCCTGGCATGGAACTGGTGAGTCAGGTAGGTACAATGACCATATTGTTTAGGAATATCACAGCAGTTAAAGTATATAACTAATATTTTTTCTTGTAACACATTGCAGTCTATTAATGCATTTTTGGCTGTCATCGTGAATGATTACAACAGACAGAACACAGGACAGGCGGTGTTCATAGATTCCTTTGCAATGACAGCAATGTGGCAGGGAAATAGTCCTAGATTAAAGGTATACAGTATCTTACACATTTCATTATGTGCAGTTGACTGTATATGTATTACTCCTCCTTGTGTTAGTAATATATTTGGAATCAATAAAAAAAAATGTTTATGGTTATATCCTTTTAACAATTTTTTTCTATCACCTGTGTGTTACAAAACATGCTTTGTTCTTGATTAATAAAAATGTTTAATTAATTTTTTATCATTCACAGATGAACCCAATGAATTATGAAATTATTCTGGGAATAAACAATCAACACCACCACTGGACTTTAGTGGTAATACATTTTTTTTTTACTTTAATAACATTAATTAGCATACTTATCTCATAAACAAAAAACACATAAATAATGTCAAATGCACGTTCTAGGTGATCTATCCGCAAAAAAAAAGTCTTTGTTCTTGGATCCACTGGGGGAATCAAAACAAGAAATCAAGAAATGCTTGCAAATCACAAGGTAGGGTTAAAAATGAAACTTTTAATGAAGAATGAAAATCATATAAAATTGTTCTTATTAATGTATCTATACTTACAGGGCATTTATGAGGAAGAAGGGGTGCAATGTCTCACGTTGGACATGTGACACTGTCAAGCATCCAAAACAACAGGATAGCACATCATGTGGTGCATTTGCACCGAAGATGCATACATATTGTCACACAGTGTATGACTTCAGGATTTTGATATATATTTTTACACATGCACAGGGAATACTTTCTTTGTAACTTAAATTTAAATCCATTAAATGAAGCTGTGCCTCTCAGTTTGCAGAAATGATCCTAGCAAAAGAGGTTGTGGATTTTCCTGTTTCCAATGAGGCAGTCTACAGCATGAGGTTTGAAATTGCTGTGAGACTTATCCTTAACAGTGGTGAGGATAACATTAATATTCTTATTTTGAGTGTTAATGACAATTGCTATCACAATTACCATTATTTGTATGTTTCACTGAAACATCTATACTTAGCCCAAAATTAATACATTAACATGGAATCTGAAAACATTTATTTATGGACATTGTTTGTACTGGGATAATCATGTGTGTTTGTGTGTGTGTGTATGTTTTTATAATGTTGTTATTACCAGATGACCTAAAAGACTTGTGTCACTTCTGTGGAGAGATAGAAAGTGACACGGACGTGAACTGGGGAAGAACTTTTTTAGAATTTTTAAAAAATTTAGTATAAGTTAAATGAAGAGGACAAGTTTTATCAAATTGTATCTTGCATAATGAAGCTTTGATAGGATCCTCCAGCAATTGGAATATAAGGGAATCTGAAATTATTGATTGCGTAGTGTAATCGCAAAGACATATTTTTAAAATAAAACTTTACATTTTTGGTTTCTTTCCTAGATCCTCTGTGACATGTGCCTGAGGTGGTTCCATCAGGCGTGTGTGGCTAGCCCACCAACTGAAAAAATTTTTTACTGCTTTGCATGTTTGCCTTAGGTTCCTGAGTTTGCTGTGGTGTGCTGGTTTATGCATGTTGTTTAATGCTTCATAAATGACATTTTAAAAACTATGTTTGATATTTATTCTTCCAAGACTTTATTTTAACATAGTTATGGAAAGATTTAAATTCCATTTGTCAAATGAAGAGCAGATGTTTTTGAATCAAAGTTAAGGACTTGCTGGTAATTTTTTTCCCCATGTTATTGGGAGAATGGATTATATCAGGCAGCTAAAACAGCTGAAATAATCTGTTCCCCCCTTTAATTTTTGCAAATAAAGAGTAAATATGACCAAATCCACAGGATTTGTTCTTGGTGGTGAGGGGAATAAGCACAGTTAAAGACTTGCAGGTAAATTAATTTATTCCCCTGTTATGGAGGGGGAACAGATTATTTCAGGCAGCTGAAATATATGGTTCCCCCGCTTTAATATTTGCAAATAAAGAGTAAATATGACCAAATTCGCAGGATTTGTTTTTGGTGGTGAGCGGAATAAGCACAGTTAAAGACTTGCAGGTAAATCAATTTCTTCCCCTGATATGGAGGGGGAACAGAATATTTCAGGCAGCTGAAATAATCTGTTCCCCCCCTTTAATTTTTGCAAATAAAGAGTAAATATGACCAAATTCGCAGGACTTGTTCTTGGTGGTGAGCGGAATAAGCACAGTTAAAGACTTGCAGGTAAATACATTTCTTCCCCTGATATGGAGGGGGAGCAGATTATTTCAGGCAGCTGAAATATATGGTTCCCCCCCTTTAATTTTTGCAAATAAAGAGTAAATATGACCAAATTCGCAGGATTTGTTCTTGGTGGTGAGAGGAATAAGCACAGTTAAAGACTTGCAGGTAAATCAATTTCTTCCCCTGATATGGAGGGGGAACAGAATATTTCAGGCTGCTGAAATAATCTGTTCCCCCCCTTTAATTTTTGCAAATAAAGAGTAAATATGACCAAATCCGCAGGATTTGTTCTTGGTCGTGAGAGGAATAAGCACAGTTAAAGACTTGCAGGTAAATCAATTTCTTCCCCTGTTATGGAGGGGGAACAGAATATTTCAGGCAGCTGAAATATATGGTTCCCCCCCTTTAATTTTTGCAAATAAAGAGTAAATATGACCAAATCCGCAGGATTTGTTCTGGTGGTGAGAGGAATAAGCACAGTTAAAGACTTGCAGGTAAATCAATTTATTCCCTTGTTATTGAGGGGGAACAGATTATTTCAGGCAGCTGAAATAATCTGTTCCCCCCCTTTAATTTTTGCAAATAAAGAGTAAATATGACCAAATCCACAGGATTTGTTCTCGGTGATGAGGGGAATAAGCACAGTTAAAGACTTGCAGGTAAATTAATTTCTTCCCCTGTTATGGAGGGGGAACAGATTATTTCAGGCAGCTGAAACATCCATTCTCTCCTCTCCTCCTCCCATATCTTTGGGAAACAAAGAGCAACTGTTTCCAATTTCTCTAAAATTGATATGTGTGATGTGGTATACTATAAATGTCCTTAATCCAGTAATCTGTCATATTTTACATTAGAAGGTGATTAACCAGAAATTCTTCTCTCATCTTCGCAGGACGTCTTAATCCGTGTGCCCTGCTATCAGCCAGTTTCCATCCTCTTATATCAGCAATGAAAAATTAAAAATACACTACCTGTTGTTGTGTTCGGTGACTGACGTTTATTTCTGTCAGGCTGAAGGGACAAAAGTTGGAGAAATACAGATTCTCTTGGCGTTTAAAAAAACAACACAAAACAGCGTAAGAGGACCTCGTTAATGTATTTATTTTACAATTTTTTAAAAAGAGCAACCGATTAAAATGGATGTTACAAAGTTGAGATGATTATATGAGCTGTTTTTACCGAAAAATGATCAGGAGCGCCTTGAGAATGGTCAGATCCGCCTCTCTGGCTGCAATGCGCGCTCCCGACACAGGGGGAACAGATTTTCATGGGGAAACAGAATTTCGCACAAGACCGGCAGCTGGAAAACCGCTGATTTTTGCAGATGTGTCTGTGGGCGGGGCTTTTCAGGACCCCTCGCCTCAAACAGGAAGTAAACTGCGTGTAGACTCCAAGAACTACAAATTATTTTGTTATCTGATCGATGCGAAATACGTTGAGATCTTAAGAAGTCACCGTCAGCAAGGTATTTAATTGCATTAAGAAAACTGTTAGCAGAATCAACTTTTTAGCACAGCGTTCAACGTGACAGCATGAGACTCAGTCAGTTTCTGTGTTGTTCCTCCTTTGTTTGAAGGACACACCCTTTATTATACACGAGTGTGTTAAATTAGACAGGTCATGTGATGTGACAAACAATCATCCAATAATGATCAAAACAACAACAAATGAGAGCGGAGGGGTCACGTGACGCTGATGGCGGAGTAGCTGTGTTTTCCGTGCGCTCCCGCAGTTTGGCATTTGTTTAGGTTTTGGTTTGGGTATATTTTGATCAAAGTTAGCGTATATCTCAGCTTTTAATTGTTGCGTGATGCCTGGCACTCAGAAAAAGCTCAACCTTGCAACTAAATCGGTCAAAGCCGGAGAAAAACAGCCCCCTCCGAGTGACGGCGCTTCTCCTGTAATGGCGGACACTCCGTCCTCTTCACACCACGGCCAAGTGGACACCGACAGGTTGGTGGAAAGGATAACCGCGGAAGTGCTGAAAGGTGTAGAAGCCTCGTTTGAAGGGAAGATCAATCCCGTTTTGCAAAGACTGGAAACATTTGCATCTAATATAGCCACGCTGGACGCAAAAATGAAAGAGGCCGAGGGGCGCATATCAACCCAGGAGGATGCTATGGCTAATCACCATGCTAAACTCTCTGAAGTTGAGCTCAAGCTAGAAGTTGCTTTGGACAAGATTGATGATTTAGAGAATAGGAGCCATCGGTGCAATATACGCATTATTGGGCTTCCCGAAGGCAGCGAAGGTACCAACCCAGTGTTATTTTTTAAGACTTGGTTACCGCAGTTGGTGGGTGTGAGTTTCAAGGATGACGCCGTTGAAATTGACCGCTGTCACCGCACGCTCGCTCGCCCTCCTTCCCCGGGGCAATGGCCCCGTGCAGTCGTCATAAAGCTCCATTACTTCCAGGATAAAGTTCGGATTTTGCAAGCAGCCAGGAGGATGCAGTCTTTAATCTACAACGGCGCCCCCATCATGATATTCGAGGATTTCTCCGCTGCGGTCGTAAAGAAGCGGCAGGGATTCTACCACGTGAAACAACGTCTGAGAGAGATGGGGATTTCATTCGCCATGATGTACCCGGCCGTCCTCAGGATTAAGCACAACGGTGTGGAGAGATCTTTCAGAGCACCGGGAGCTGTTGCAGCCTACTTGGATAAATCGTCACAAAATTCGGGATATCCCCCAGTAGCAGGGGCTGTTTGAGGGATTCTGGATATGTTGCTTGAATGGGTCTCAGCAATCCTATTTTTGGTTCACAATGTAAGATAATTGACAAAAACTGCTGTATAGTTATTATTAACATGTGCCTACTTTTCTATAGCTGAGATGCTTACTTTCTTTTATGGGCCCATTATATAGAATGCTACTTTGATAAAGCTGCAGGTTGGCAGCTATTTCCATGTTACTGATTTTGGAGAAAATACTTTTATCCTGGTCCAGCATCTTCCTCTGTTCCAGTTGGAAAGTTTGCTTGCACCCCATGTTGGGTGTCGGAGACCTTCGTCTGACCTCTATTTTCCTTTACTTTTTGATGTTCATATTCTTTGTAAATAGTTTTGTGTTAATTCTTATAGCAAAGCAGGTTGTTGGTTTCTCCTATTTTACGTGTATCTTCCTTACAACCTGTGCTTTAGTTTTCTGTCCCCCTTATTTTATTATTATCTCTCTTGAGCCCAAAATGTCTGTACCATGGCTATCGTCACTCAGGTTTGTATCAGTGTTTACACTTAATACAGGATGATTAATGATAACTCAGTGTTGAACGTTTGTACTTGGAATGTGGGAGGTATACACAACCCTATCAAACGGAGAAAGATTCTGAGCTTTCTTAAGAAGGAAAAGGTGCACGTGGCGTTGTTGCAGGAGACCCACCTGACTTCTCAGGAGCACCTTAAGTTAAAACGGGATTGGGTTGGTCAGGTGTTTAGTTCTTCTTTTACGAGCAAGAGTCGGGGGGTGGCTATTCTAATACATAAGCACCTGCCACTGATGAATGCCCAAACAATTAGTGATAAGTCTGGGAGATACATATCTTTAAAGGGCACCTTACATGGCCAGTCAGTGTCATTTCTGAATATTTACTTTCCACCAGTACAGTCTAATGACTTCATTACTCAGGCTTTTTCCTCCTTTTCGGATTGGGTTTGTGACAACTCAGTGATAGCGGGAGATTTTAACTGTTATCTCTCCTCAATTATGGACAAATCTCCATCTAGACAGTCTCAAATTCCTAAAAGGGCCAAAGCACTTTTGGACACCTGTAACGAACTTGATCTTGTTGACACCTGGCGTGTACTTCATCCTAATGATAAAGAGTTTACATTCTTCTCAGGGGTTCATAAAACAAGTAGCAAAATTGATCAGATTTTCACTCCCAAACGGTCACTGAGTAATATTAGTAGTTGTAGAATTGGAGATATTCTTATATCAGACCACGCACCTGTTTATATACAGTTAAATCATTTGAATGCTGCCCCTTTGTAACGGACTTGGAGATTTAATAATTTTTTAATCCACAACCCTAAATTTGAGAAATTTTTAAATGAGCAGCTGGAGCACTTTCTAAAGATAAATGCAACCCCCAAAGTTTCTCCCGGTCTACTGTGGGACACTTTGAAAGCTTATACTCGCGGACTAATTATATCATATTCTGCAGGTCTAAAGAAGAAAAATCAGATGGAGCAAAGAAAATTAGAACTGGCGCTGCATGATCTCCGGATTAGATACAATGCCTCACCTCAGTTTTACACCTCCATCATTGAGTCCATCCTCACATCCTCCATCACCGTGTGGTACACTGGCGCCACCGCCAGGGACAGATACCAACTGCAGCGCATTGTGCGCTCCGCTGAGAAGGTGATCGGCTGTAAGCTGCCATCACTCCAGGACCTGTATGTCTCCAGGACCAGGAGACGTGCAGGTCGCATCACAGCCGACCCTTCTCACCCTGGACACAGACTGTTTGAACCTCTCCCCTCAGGGAGGAGGCTACGGTCCATACGGACCAGAACCTCCCGCCATAAAAACAGCTTCTTCCCCTCTGCCATAAGACTCATGAACACTATATGTCAGACTCCATAACCTGCCCATGCCATTCACACTGCTGTATTGCACACTGCTCTATTTGCACTATCTTGTACATTTTACTTTTTATATTTATCCATATTTTTATCTTAAGTGTATATATTAGTATATTTTTTGCATGCCTTATACCCTAGTGTTTTTAGAGATTTTTATAATTTTATTTACTATTTCATATATGTTTCATGTTGCACGACTGTACCACAGAAATTTCCTAGTTGTGAACCTCTTCACTAACAATGGCAATAAACCCGATTCTGATTCTGATTCTCTGAACAATTAGGGAATGAAATCCAGGTGGTCAAAACCTCTTTGGAGGGGCTGCTAACGAAGAGGGCTGAGAAATCTATGTTTTTTATGAGGCAAAGGCTGCATGAATTTGCTAACAAACCAAATCGCTACCTAGCTAATCTCCTTCGGAATAAGACATCTTCTCGCAATATCCCGTGTGTTAAAGATTCTTCTGGATTCCTTAAATATGACATTACAGAAATTAATAACATGTTTAAATATTTTTATAAGCAGTTATATGCCTCTCAGTTTAAATCCTTACACATACAGGATATGCAAAACTTTTTTTCAAGACTAAACCTACCTAAAATTACGGAAACCCAGAGGGATGACCTATGCAGGCCTATAACACAGAGTGAAATTTTGAAAATAATTCAGTTACTTCCAAATAACAAAGCTCCCGGTCCGGATGGATTCAGCGGGGAATTTTATAAAAAATTTAGTAAAATTCTAATCTCGCCGCTATCTGAAATGTTTCAATCCTCATATGTTGTTGGTGCTCTTCCCCCATCCTTAATGGAGGCTAATATCTCATTAGTTTTGAAAAAAGGGAAACCCCCGGAAGACTGTGCCTCTTACAGGCCTATATCGGTTTTAAACCTTGACCTGAAAATACTATCTAAGATCCTGGCCATACGTTTAGAGAGTATGCTGCCCTCTATTGTTAAGAATGACCAAACCAGAGTCATACAAGGACGATATTCTACAAACAATGTTAGGCGTCTGCTTAACATAATCCAGCATTCATCCCAGTTTGGTCCGGAGGCATTACTTATTTCTCTTGACGCTGAGAAAGCCTTCGACCGCTTAGAATGGCCATATCTCTTTTTTACACTTCAACAATTTGGTTTAGGTGATGGCTTTGTGAAATGGATACAGATTTTATACATGTCTCCTCTTTCGGCTGTTATTACTAATGGTCTCAGATCAGAGAATTTCAGCATTGGTCGTGGTAGTCGACAGGGATGCCCTTTGAGCCCTCTGTTATTTGCTCTGGCCATGGAGCCCCTTGCAGCAGCAATTAGACAAGATGCAAGCATTGAAGGACTCTTTTTAAATAATTATCAGCATAAAATTTCACTCTACGCTGATGATGTATTGATTTTTCTAAACTCCCCATCACACTCGATTCCTAAAATTATTGAACTGATTTTACATTATGGCTCTTTCTCCGGCTATAAGATAAATTTTTCTAAAAGCGAGGCTATGCCTATTTCTGTTATACATGGGGTTGACTCAAACATTTCTCAGCCTTTTCGATGGTCCCCGTCAGGTTTCACTTATTTAGGAATAAAAATCTCACCGCACCTAAAAGATCTATTCAATCTGAACTATACCCCTTTAGTGCTATCAATCAATCGTGATTTAGAAAGATGGTGCAGCCTCCCTCTGTCTCTTTTGGGTCGTATACACTTAGTCAAAATGAACATTCTACCTCGCCTTCTGTACCTATTTCAGATGTTGCCTCTTGTTTTGTCTAAAAGGGTCTTGTCACAATTGAATGGTTCAATTATCTCATTTATTTGGAATAAGAAAATTCCCAGATTAAGGTATAGTTATCTTTGCTTACCTGTACGGAAGGG